ATATCTTTCTCTCTCTCTCTCTCTATATATATATATAGAGTTTCCTTCAAATATTAGTAAATCAGTAGTTGAAAATGACCTTTGGCTAATTTAAGCGAGTTTTATTAAGCAGGAAGAAGGGGAAAGCAAGAGCGTATTTGGCATTTTATTGTTAACATTTTTCTATGCTATCAAATATAGTTTTGCTAAAACTTTTATTATTACGGTAAATGTAAATTTATTTAGTAAAGCACGATTTAAATTTTTACGCACACGCAGTATATTTTATATATTTAAAAAAACTTTATCGATATTTTCACACTATTTTCAATACATTGCTCACGTATCTGTGCTGTAAATACAGCTCGCGGGCAATGCGCCATTTTTCTCAACGATAACGATACGTGCCGTATCTGAATGTTCGGCGACGTAATTGCCCGTCAGGACAAGATAAATCCTTTGGGCCGAAGAAATCCTTGATCCACGGCACGCATCCTGGTCGGTGACAGGATCCTTCCGACGGAAGGATAAGGGACGAACGTAGATAAATCATGATGTTTCAGGTGTCGGAAATCGGGAAGCAAAGGGAGGAGAAAAGAAGACATCTGCGGGGACTGATCTCGCTGATATTTTCCTTTCCGGCATTTTTATCTTTCCTAAGAGAACCGCCGTTAAACCGATCGTTTACCTAAGCGCAGCTCAAAGATTGTGCGGAATGGCTTTCAATATATGTTAATTTTATCGAATCTCGTAGATAAGCATCCCCTAATATCGAAGGAAATTTTTCTTTCGTCGCTTAATATATTCGAGATTATTATATTGTTTCTGAGTTTTAAAGATCTATTCTAGATTGATTTTTTTAATCGAAAATCGGCGCGACAATTTAAAAAAAATGTTTCATTACCTGTTTCCTGAAAAAGAGCTTCTTTGAAGTAAACTCTTCAATTACAAGCGACGCTGTAAATCCGTAAAATTCGATTTTTCTTACATCAAGCGCTAATTTCACGAGTCCCTTCCACGAATCTTGGAAGAAGAGAAGGGGACAGATACGATTGCCAGATAATTCCTAATCTTTCTGATAGACGCTCAGGGATTGTTTCCCTCGTTCGCGTGGAGGTTTCCTACTGGGGCGCGAAACCGCGCACTTCCCTCCCTTCCTTCTGAATTCTCTTATCTCAGAGATTGGCAGGATCTGCGAGTAGGACACTTACCCGGATAAAGAAAGAGTCTGGAACCGATGACGGCCAGAGGTCGTCGTTTCCACTGGGGAAAAACCAACCCCTTTAACACCAGGGTATAGCCGCAACGGCTGTATCCTGCCAGGTCTGGCAATGGCGATGCTGGTCCTGGCAAAAGGAAAAAGAGATAGAGCGGTTAGTAACTACGGCTTTAATCAGCGCGCTCTTTAGACGACGCCTTTTAAATGTAATATATGTGATGCTTTTTGGGATGGAAGGGTTGAGATCCTACTACGATCTCACACGCAGTTCGTGATAAAAGGAAGGTCTATTTATTTGAAAAGTAACTTTATGATTCACATTTTTTATGTTTTCATATATGTTTTTTATACTTCTTAAATTTATATATAATTCATATCTCAGAAAATTTTAATTTATATATAATTCTTAAATTTATATGTAAGATATTTATATTCTTTTGAAAGTTTCAAGCAACTATTGTCTTTACAGCAATAAATATTTATTTTAAATATTTTTTTTTTCGAGAAAAAATGAAAAATGTATAACAATTATAAATATTTTGACATATATATAATTAGATAATACTAAAAAATAAAAGATATATTCAATTAAATACGTTACATTAAATTATGTTCTGTTTATACAAGTACTTGAATTGTGATTAAAAATATTAACTTCTTGTTATAAAATATTTATTTTCCTTTCTTTATTATTCCTGAGAGCTTTCGCCGACTCCATTCAAAACTGCCCTATATATTGCGACATATAGAATTTTTCATTGCATATGCGGCAGCAAACGGCGCGCGAGGAAATTGAGTTACGTTTACAAATAGAGACGCAAATTTCCAGAGAATTTTGCAGACCATACGACATACGCGAATCAAAATGTTATTTTTTCGACTCATTGTGTAGCGATATAGACCTTTAACTGCTCTGGTGAATCGCAAAACCATCACACAACCAGCTCGTAAAAAATATCCGATGATGTATCGCGATCGTAGCTGTCATATATTTTTTAACATGTTTTTGTATCTTCATCGTACAATATTTATCAGTTATTAGTAGGTATCTTTCAAAATAACAATTTTGTAATACTACATTTTAATTTTTTGCAGATAAAATTAGATTTGTTGGGTCTATTTAACATATTTGCAAATTTTATCAAATTCATCATGTTTCTACTCTCTTCGTAACTTATAGTTACTAATTAATTTGTTTAAAAATGTATAATTACTTTTTTTGAACAGCATTTTAAAATTCTTACAAAAAAACTATTAAAGATTGATATATAGAAACCAATAATGCAAACGTGAATATGCAAAAGAGGCGGGTTATCAGAAAACAAAAGCAATTATATTCTTGGCAGCATGATATTTCCTTGCGGATCTGTAAATATTGGGCCACGTCGCCGTCGGCGAGAAATGCTCGCGAACTTTGCTCTCGCTTCGCCATCTCTCCGCGATAGAATCTAATAAATCGTGCGCGATTATTAAAGCCAGTGTGCGTGCGGCTTTATTGCAACGTTGGAAAATGCCACAATTTTCAGCGATTTCAAAGGGAAAGCAATTTATTATGCGCGAAAATAGATTCTGCAATCTAAAAAAAAAAAGTACAATATTCATGCTGGAATTAGAATGATTGACGATAACGAAACATTCTCTTGAAATTGGACAATTGAATACTAAATTAAAATCTCTCTGTTACATTTTTAAAATCTAATTTTGACATCACCTGAGAATAGATGTTTAATTTTATATCTTTCGACAATGCAAAAAAAGAGATATTTTTGTGTTCTTCCTCGAATATTTAGTAACTTTATTCGGAGGCAAATATATTTTCTCCATAAAAAAATGAGTTATATTTATCGTTTAGCTCACTTGCAACCTGAATTTTGTTCTCGGGGGCGAAAGTTTCCGCGGGAAATTACGGACGAGAACACCGGCAACACGATAATCGGCGTTTAACGTTTTGGCTTAGCTAGGCAGTTATGTCGTTTGCTGGGTCGGCGACGCGAGAGCGCGCACTACCGGCACTTCCGGCCAGGAAACTCTCAGTCGTTAGCGGTTATTATGGTTAAATATGCTCGCGCCGTCTGTTAGATAAATTTGCCGTTTTAACGCTCGAGCCCTCCCCCGTGTCCGGTATCAGCGGCGTATCTCGCCGCTCCAATTCTGCGCCATGGAATGTCAAACGGCACGTAAACGCACGATATCGTTGGATTCGCAATCGAATGGCGGAAGAATCCTGGAAGAATCGTTAGTAAGCTAAATAAACGAACGCGAGGTAGTGAATGACCACTCGGACGTTCCTGCGGATGTTCGGATTTCTAAATTATTCGCGGTAGAAAAATTCGCATACTTTCGACCATTTTCTCGTCTAGAAACGTAAACATTATTGAAAATCTATACATTTATATTCTACGAATATCTGTGAAATTCTGGATATTTGAACGAGTAGTTTACAGCAGTGAAAAAAAAAAAAATATATAAAAATTATATTCTATGAAAAATTGAAGGTGAGGCGAGAGTAAGATGTATGCGCATATCGATTTGTACGTGTTCATATACATGAATTTTCGGATTTATCGCGCTTTGAGCATTAAAAATTTGTTGTGATGTTTATTCGACGCTTGAGACATGGGAGCTTTTAAAATATACATGTCCTCTTTTCGTTTGCTCGTATCCTTCCATCTTTATATTCTCGCGCAGTTTGGTTATCTGAACGTTGTAGCTCTCAATCGAATAAACAATATAGGCGCGTGCGTAAAATAAAAAGTACACTCGAAAAATCGCTCGAAAGTCGGAGTCTATGTAACGTAAAAGTGTTTACGATTGCCAGTTCTCTCCAAGTATCAGTTCCCAACAAAAAAAAAAAACATAGCCGCGCGAGCATCTCTCAAGCTAGAATATCAATCACCAGCCATTTCCAATATCGTCTAACGGGGAAACGCGTTTTGCAGTTTACTCCGGTTTTCTTGCAAAAACCATTTTCTAAGTATACGCGACAGTAAAAAGAAAGGCAAGACAATTTTCGAGTTTGTTCCCGACTAGTAGCAGTTAAGTAGACGGACAAGTAAACTCTTTAAAGCGCGAAAGTTGCCCCGAGCTCTCTCAAATTACATTTATAAGGCAAACAAACACGCGCGAAAGCAGAGATATAAATTGGCTTATACATGTACATATTACTACCGTTATTAAAATCGTAATTACGCGCGTCGAACGCGTATCGTTGAGAGTTATCGTGCGAGTTTTGCAAAAAAATTGCCGAAGGCCAAAGGAGAAAAAGGAAATAAATAAACAAGAATGCAAAATATAAGCGAGAAAATAAATGTTTCGCGACAATGACGACGATGAGAACGACGACGTGACGCACGCGACACTTTAACTTAATTAACTCGGCTAAATTGCGCCACGTAAGTTACGTAATGCTCTCGGCGAGTTTATATCGCCGGCGACCGAGCGGAGCACAGAAGCGCCCTGAAATTGCTCATTAATAGCGGCAATAACGTTATAATTAGCGGAGCACACGCCTTGCCGACTCGCTCGTTTCGTGTCCCCCCCCCCCCCCCCCCCGCTCCCCCGAAAGTACTTACTTACAGGCTCTCCCTTGTATGTGCCGACACAACAACTGTCGTACACAGGGTGCTTCACCTAAGTTGAGAGAATCTAGCATTTTCCTGGGGCGAGTCGACATATATCGAAGCGGCGAGCGATCATAAATGTAGAAAAGTATTATAGAATGGAGTTGAAAGTTTCACTTTCGCAATAAATGTGTGACTCTATACAGGGACGCGATTATCATACTGCGAGAGTTAGCAGAGCGTAGAGCTGCCCCTCCCTTCTTCCTCCCCTTTGCCTCTTTGTATCTCTCCCTTTCTTTACGGTAGAAAGAAATCAGTGATGAGAAATGTGCCAAGAGAATACGCGTTACATCGAGTCTTTCTTGGAGGAAATACTCTCTCTTTTTTTTCTCTTTTTTTTGACATATTTAAAAAAAGAAACTAACGCGATATAAATATAAATTATAATATCCGACGAATATGTGAGAATATTGCGTAATTATCCGGAGCGCGAGTCGTCTCGCTAAATATGTTTTCCATTCTTATCTCGGTAAACGCTTAGGTCAATGCCAATCAATAGGCGTACCGCTTACGATTAGTCAAACCATTCGTCTCGTTAATTAATCATTGCAGCTCCGGCGCCATGAAAGTTAAGACGACGGGAATTAGAGGAGGCGCGATTCCTCGCGAAAGTCACTCGCGAGCGTAAAATTGACGAGGAGATGAGGCGCGGAATGACGAAGTGTTCAACTAATACATTTAGCTCGCGCACATCGGTCGGCGTCTCTGAAAGAGCAGTCAAACGATGTAACAAAATCAGACGCGCTTTGTAATTACCAAGGGGAAGGGAGGTAAGATTTACGTAAAGTATAAGAGAAGTGCGTTAAGTATAATAAAGCATACCATCGCACGAGACTGCTTTGTATCCTGTAAGGATAATTTTGCGAAGAGTTTTTCAAACCAGTCGAGTTTAATAGAATTAACAGAATTAATTGATTCATCCATTTTGATCTGAATAAGAAACTCTAATTATTTAATGATTATTTCAAAAAATAATTTGCATGAGCGGAATAATTCTAATAATGGAGTTACATTTTAGTAAAACATATATATCATTAATTAAAATTATTATTTTAAAATGTATAAAAAATAGATAAATATTAACGAGAGATTTCTACACATAACGGCTCGTAAAAAGAAAAAAAACCTTCTGCTATGATTCATACTAACCTACGTGAAAGCCGATGAGATGTCTGAGTTCGAGATCAACTCCCAGACGAGCGCGCCGAGATACATCCTGGTAGCCGAGCCTTTGAAGAAATTGATCCTGAATTTCCAGTGGCTTCTCCTGAGACGCCAACCTCCTGCCTGGCTCGCCGCCATACTGGAATATGAATTCATAGAATGTTTATTTTAACAACGGACAAGAAACAGGATGAACAGCATCGCGTTCATCGGGGAAACATGAAATTCGAAGAGAGCGTGTAAAAAAAAAAAAACCCCAAAAAGGAAAAGTGCGACAATAATGCAAATTTCAAGTAAAATCTATGCCAAACTATAAAATATTAAATATTATAAACAAGGCAGAGAAAATCTTTTATTTGTTTATAATTAATGTTTTTTGAGTTTTATATGAATATTGACAATCGAAGGCTTTCATTTTCTTTTGATTTTATCTCTATAAATTAAAACTTAATCTAAAATTTCAAGAGTTGTGCATATGTATAAAATTTTGATATATATATATTTATCATATTATATAATATTTCATTTATATTTTATCTTGTAGTACTTTTTATAATGGTCGATAAAAGTTTCTAATGGAATTAAAATCGAGACCTAATAGATATCTAATATTAATATCGCGATATTGCGAGTAAAATAAAACTGTTCCGCAATTCATCAACGCTCATGAAAGTCTCGATGAATTCTCACGATCAAAGTTATTCTCCGGAGAAAAAAGAGGTTTCATCACTTCTGCTAATTAAAAAAACATTTTGAAACAGTCATCTTAGATCTTCTTATCATCTTAGTTCATAGCGTGAGACAAGCGCTTTTTTCTTTCGGCAGATTTTCTCGCTAATAAAATATCGTCATAATATACCCTAGAAATCGTAGCAAAAATTTAATCACAAAAATTAATTACCGAGTTATTTAATAACGCAAATTCAACGGTGTTGAAATAGTCTGAAGAGCGGGAGCGAATAAGGGAAGCATATTCTATAATTAATTCACAGTTTTTTGTTAATAATAGACCCAATTATTGGACAATTAATTTTATTGTTAATTAAATGAATATGAATAAAGTAGAAAATATAAAAAATTAAAGGATATTTCAGCAGTTTATATAATATATATCAAAACATATAAATTTATTTTAAATAATTTTTCTAAATGATATATATTTATATAATAATTAATTGAATAATTATATAAAATAATTTTTATTTTCTTGTAGATCTTTAATAAAAAATACCTAAAACATTTTTTTTCTGGACAAAAGAATTTAGAGTACATTGTACTAAATCTTTGAATGTATAATATTATGGTATATAATACAAAAATTTGAAGTAATTTAAATTTAAAGAATTTTTAACTATGCTCTTAAAATGAAAATTAAGTCCACTTTCAAAACATTGCTCGTAATAAACTTTAAATCTCGTTGCAATGATTTAGATAAATAATCTTTCTACCGTCACAAGTTAAATACACGTTGACATTAAAAATATTAAACAGACTTTCCAGATTAAGTTTTATTAAAAAAATCGGCTTTTGATTTTTTGAAATGTAAAGCTATATTATATATAACGAAATAACATGCTTACATTTTCTTTTAGACACTCTTATACACACATATGCGCATAAATATCTTATATAAAGTATGATGTTAAAACTTTAAACGTGTATTAGGCACAAACTGATAAAATTATTGAGTTTTCGCAAAATTTGGCCTGTCGCAAGTTTTGCCAATATTCTGGAAATAGGATTTTTCTTTGTCATAAATTTTATATACCAAAACTCTTACATTATCGAATTCGTCAGACATATCTAAGTAATCGGCTGTCTTATTAAAGCCCAAGACATAGAGGTCTTAGATCTCCTTTTATCAAAAATAATTCTTAATTGGTCGGTGTTCGCAAGTTTATAGGTCACATGTAAGGATCTTCAACTTTTTAACGATTACAAACTGCAGATGAAATATGTTCCTCGAAATTAAAAATATCTTGTACATATATATAAAGTTCATAGTTATGTAATAAATTAAGTATAGAGTATGCACAAAATAATCTTTCACAAATAAAACATATTTCATTAGAATTGTTCTTTTAAATAATTTATGTGCGTATATATCAATATAATTTATTGATAGAAGCAAATGGAAAATTTGTTTACAAGCGTAATTTCAAAATAATTCTAAATTTCAAATATTTAAAATTTTATAATTAAATTATAATAATATTTTTCAGACTTCTTGAAATATAAAGAATTGTTTTAAAATTATACTTGCATAAACAATTTTTTCTTTTGTGTGACTATAAATAAATAATATTAATATATTTAATATTGATTATTTGAAAGATTAATTTTTTATTTGAAAGATAAATTGTTAATTTTTGTTAATAAATTATAATGTGAAGAATAATTGAAAAATGCGATAACTTTTACGAATACGACGATGCGCGCAAGTTTAACAATTAAATATAACGCAATAATCCCACAGAATAAAATATTGACAGTTTATCTGTCAAAAGGACAGTGCACTATTCTATATATTTCTGTGTATTATATACATGATTTTGTAATTACATACATATTTAATTATCAATCAATTTTTAAAGCTTCCAATATCTTGGGAAATTTGCTTCTGTTCTAATTGCATCTCTTTTACTTTGTTTAAATCATGTCATCGTTTCGCCGATGCAGTAAACTACTCATGCAAAAAGTCCTCAATCCATTTCCAACCTTCATACGTTTTGAGAATTTCCGGTAGTTTCCAAGTTTCTGATCGAGTCGTCGCTTCCTTGACGGATTCTCCTCGGAAAACTTGTCAGTCGGATCGTCGAGCCGGGCTTTCAACGTCACGTCAATCGCGAACTTTCTCGAAAAAAAAAAGAGTCGTACTTTGGTCAAACACTCCCTTTAGGTAGCAATCGGCCGAACTTCGGCAACTGCGATCTTCGCGTAGAGAAGTTGCCGCTTCGCTAAATCATTTTGTCGTCGCGACTTGCCAGTTGAAAATTCTGTCTGTTTCTTTATATATTTAAAATTACTCACAAAGAGTATAAGATATACGATATCCTTTCAAAAATTATATGCTAATAATAGAATCACGCTCTTACAACATTAATTGAGAGTTGAGTGAGTTTCTGCTGTTCATTTTGTTTTCCAAGTTTCAAAATTAATTTAAATTGTAATCTAATCTCTCTCTAAAGAATTGTGGAGATACAGTTTATCTATTGAAATTCCAAGTTTAAAATAAATAAAAAAGTCCTTGTTACTCAATTTCATTTGATTTATCAAAGTTAGCCTATTGCATCTTTGAATTGAGGATCATAACATTTTTTTTATTAAACAATACAATTGATGTGCATTTTACATTTTATATTAATATCTGCTTATAATAATATTAATAAATTGTATAATTAAAATGAGTATCTAAAGTTATAAAACAATCAATGTTATAAAATACGAATTATATTATTATGATTTCTTGCGTTTTAATGATTTAATGACATTTCATATCCAATCACTTTTAATTACATTAACTTTATATAATTCTATCGAACAGCAATTAATGTCTAATATTGTGCCATAGTAAATTCATTCTGTTTTTGTTCAATTGGCGATCCAATTTGCACGAAATCGATTCGCATGATTTTGCACACGCCAAAATCTTTCCGAGAAATCTCGCACTCGCGATAAAACGGAGGCTGCCATTTAAAATGCATTAGAACTATCTATTGGAGCGCGTGGCGTGTATATGTCCTTCGATAATTCCATAATCCGCGAAACGGTTTTAATTCCGTTGAGATAAAACTGCGCATTCGCGGCGAGCAAGGGGCGGCATTAGTCGCGACATATGCGCCGTAAAAAAATTGTAATTCCGGAAAGTGGCCTGTAAATAATAACCCGGTTAACCGCAAGAGGTAGAGAAAGAGATTAATCACGCCACGCATTGGATAGCAAGCGAATGCGGTCGCTTGTGTATATATCATCGTCCCAGCACGGCGGATTTTCTAATTTTTGTCCTGGCTAATCCTGAGCAATCCTCGCAATTCCGACGCAAGATGCAGAAATCATAATTAAAATAATTTTGATATAATGATAACAACATTCTTTCATAAAATATTTCATTACATTGTTGTGGATTTTAATATCTTTTTCTTCTGATGTTTTCTTGTCTTTGAGAGTTTAGAAATTAATAAAAATTTTACAATATATATATATATACAATTAGTAATATATATAACGACAATATGCCGATACACATAATACCGATATACATGTTACTCAACGATGTTACATTGGCTTTTACCAATTAAACCAATCTATCAACTTTTATTTTGTTTATTATGCACAATTTAAAGATGTATTTATAATATTCCAATACCAATTTTTTAAAAAATTTTTTTTGTCGCGAAATAAAGCCTATATAATATCGATATTATGAAAATGTTTGTCGTAAATCAAATTTAATATTCGTATTATGGAAATTTTAGTTATAGATCGCCATCTGACGTCCAATACTAATTAAACGTTTTTAGCATTGTGGCTTTATAAGAATAAACATAAGAGATAAAAAGAGAGATGGAATAGAATAGTTAACGAAATTATTTTGATCTCACGTTTCAGAATCAAGTCTGCGCTGCACCTCATTATACATGTTAGAAAAGTGCTTGAATGTCGAGTGTTTGTGCGATAATCGACTTTCGTATCGGGTCACGCGGCTGTTTTTCGACTGATCTTTTGTAATCAACATATAAAACCACGGTCGGAATTATTTGAAATGAATGTTGTGAAAAAAAAGTAGAGGGGATCATTCGAGAAATGTTCGTCTCGTAGACGGCGAAATGAGAGAAAGAGGGATAATACTCTTCTCTCGGCACGAAAGGGCGTCTCTTTATTAATGAAGAGAATATAATTAAGGCTCGAACACTTTTGCACCATGCGGATAATCATATTCCTGCGCGCGGAACGTCTCGCTCCTGGCCAGAAATTTTCGACTTTCTCGCCACGTTCGCGGGTTTAGAAATTAATTGCTGCCACCGAGTCAGCGGCAATCCAGTCTCTTGACTCGTGCTCTGAACCAAGAAGCAACGAGCTTACCCCTTTGAACCTCAGACGCGATGTCTTTCTGCTTTCGCGCTACATTAAAATATATCG